CTCCGAGAGTCGCCCGCAGCGCGACCGCGTCGCCCAGCGCGGGCGCGTCAAGGAAGGGTGCCTGCTCGTGCTCGAGGATCTCCTGGCCCTCGAAGTCCATGTCGCTGGACGTCTCGGTCTCCCTGTAGGATGTCTCCAGTATGCTCTTGCCCCAGTAGGGCAAGTCAGCGGGGGCCCTCGCCCCCATGAGGTTATGCTTGCCACGCCTTCGCATCCTCTGTGGTCCTGCCAGCTGCTCGAATCCCTCGCGAGGCGCCTCCTCCTCCTCCTGCTCGCGCCTCAGGTCGGGCATGAGGCCAACCTCCTGCCAGGGTGTTCCGTCGTCGTCCGCCGTCTCCGAGTGATCCCTGTCGTGGCCCAGGAAGACCTCTGGGTAGGGAATGCCATCTTCTTCGCGGGTTGTCGCGGTCGTTGCCGGCGTCGGCGCTGGCGGCGTCGCTCTCGCCGTCGGTCTCGCGCGCTCGCGGGCCATCAGAACAATCTTCTTGGTCGAGGTGCGCCGTTTGACTGGCCCTGGTAGATGCGGCGGGGCGTCCTTCTCCGCCGGCGCCGTTGCCGCCGTCCTCGTCGGAGGCGGCCCCGATGGCAGAGGCGGCGTTTCGCCCCCCCCCCCCCCCCCCCCCACCCCCCCCCCCCCCCCCCCACACTAGTGTTTGAGGTCATCGTCGCGGCACGGGCCGCGCGGGAGGTTGAGGCGTCTCATCCTCGTCGGTGACCTGTCGAGGCGGCGGCGGGCGGCGCGCAGGATGCGCCTGTGCAGGTCGTCGGAGATTCTCAGCGCCATCGCGAAAACGCGCCCCTTGCACTCCAAAGCTGCCCGTTCCTGCTGAGCTCCGCGCCGGCGCGGGCGCCTCCATTTCGTTTTCCTTGATTTTGCGCATTGCTCGGCGTCTGTCGCCCAGTTCGTCCGCCATTCTCTTTTCGACCCCCTTTCCCGCGCCGCTTCTGGTGGCGCTCGGCTGCGTCGAGCGCGCTGCGTATCAGAGCGTGCTCGCGCCTGTCCGCGAGCGCCCTCTTGGCGCTGCGGGCCGTCGCGTAGACGCTGCGCTCCAGCGGGGGCCTCGGATCTGCCCGGCGGGGTGGGCAACCGTAGTCTGGCGGGCCCATCTCGCAGCCCGCGACAGGTCCGCGGCGCGCTCTGTGGCGCAGCCGCTGCAGCGCTCGCTGAGCTGCATGCGTTCGGGGCGCCCTGGCACCCTAAAGCTGCCATTGATACGTTTGCGGGGGTGGCGTCCGTCGCGCCCCTTGCAGTATTCTCGAGGGCGGACGTCGAAGTCGAAGGTGCCCGCGAATTCTCCTCGACGTGGCGGCCAGTCTCTGGGGGCCGGGGGTCGCGCGCGCGCGCCCAGGAAACCGTCGTGGCAATCTCGAACTGCGTCTTGAGTCTCCTCCAGCTCCATGATCGATGCCGACCGCGGCTGCTCGGTGAAGATCTCGCGCCCGTCTCGAAGCTGTTGATCTCGGACTTTGGCAGCGCATCGAACGACGCCGCGATCGGCGAGCTGCGCCCCCCCCCCCCCTCCCCGCAGACGCGGGAGCTGCTCCTCCGTCGCGCGATGCGCATCGTGCGCGCGCGGGGCCCAGTTTTGCAGGGGGGAAAAAAAAACGAATCCGACAAAATCGGGGCCCATCGCAGCCAGTCCCCGCACTGGCGGCGCCCAGCCCGCGCCGGCCCCGGCCGCGGGCAACGCGCGCGCAATGCGCGCCCAAGTGAAATCCCCAGGCGCCAAGGGCGCCTCCGGAGTCTCGCCTCGGAGCCTCGCGCGTCAGACCTTGTTCTCCTTGGCCTCGCGGTCGCGGGCGCCGTCGAGCACCTCCGCGCCGGGCCAGCTTCTGCTTCGAGCCGCGGCTCATCCGACGCAACGCGTGCCTCATCGCCTCGCATGCGCCGTTGTCCTCCCGGTCGCCCTGGGCCTGGCCCTCCTCGGTCCCCTCTGGTCGTCGTTGCCGATGTAGAGTTCTATGCCCGTGAAATCGTCTGGCATGCAATCCGCGGCGCCGTGCTCGTCGATCTCCAGCCTGGGGTGCCCCGATCTCCGACGTGAGGTGCCCTCGAATCGGTCGCGTCTCGGAGCCCGCCTGGATCGCGTCGGCCGGCGTCGAGATGTCCGCTCCTAAGTCCTTCAGGGCTCATCGGCTGATCAGCCCAGGGCAATCCCGCTCGATGCGCGCCGCGTCGAGCTTGCCCATCTTGCCGTAGACTCCTATCGGGCAGACGCAGGCATTCGCGGGGTGGACCGCGTCGCCACCACCGACCTTGAAGCCCCCCCTCTGCCGCGGGCTTGAAACCTAGCTTCCCGCATCTCCTCGTCGTTGCGCCATGCCGCGCCGGCCCATCAGCGCTCCTGCGACATTCAGTGTCCGCTAGCATGTAGACTGCCTCTTTGGACAGCTGGTAGACTGCGTAGTGCATGTTCAAGTGCTTCGCGTCGACGTCGTTCCTGGAGCCGTTCGTGACCAAGCTCGCTATTTCTGTGAAGGGACAAACCTTCTCGCCAGTGAATCACTCGGTTTTGCACGTCGTCTTGTCTGGTACCAGAGCCTCTTATCACAGGATGCGCACTGCTGCCGTTCGCCGTGCAGGTTGTCCAAGGTCGTCATCTTCCGGCGCGAATAGGCCGCGTCTCCATGTACAAGCGGCGACTGTCCTGGCGGCACAGGAGGCATCGGATTGGCTAGCACGTGGTTGGTGGCTGTCTCCCTCGCAAGAGGGGCTAGGTTATTCGAGAACTGAATCGCGGACCAGCCGAGACGTGCAGACACCAGAGAGGCCATGGTCTCCGTCACATCTCCACATCGTCGGTCATGTCGCGCCGAAACACAAAGAATGTCCGACCTTCGCGTCCACGAGATAGCTGCCGGATGCCTTGCTGCTTCGCGCTCCTGATTCTCGTTTGACATACGGGGCCACCTGTCCAGACATGGCCCGATCACATTTTGGGTCGCCACTCCAGTGGCTATGCTGACCAGAATCCTTGCGCTTGCCCGTCTTTTGTTTGGCCGAATTCTTTCATTGTGACTTGCCTGGCGGTGTTTCTTCCCCTGGAAAACTTGCCGGGCCTTCTGCACAAACGCCTCGAACTCCGCCCTTTCCGCTTCAGTCCGAAGCCTTTTCGTCTCAATCTTCATCGGGCTCGCCATCCTGGAAGTATATGCCGTCTGGGTCTTCCCAGTCGTCCCGGTCATCGCCGATGGTCGACTCGTCTGGCTGTAGTCGTCTCCGTCGTTGTGGCACTTGCCGTACTTGCCCTTTTCCAGACTCGCCCATGCCCGATACCTTTGGTGACTTGCCATATTTGCCTCCACTCGATAATTATCGAAGGGCCGTAGCGTCGAGCTTGGTGGCCACTGCATAGGAAGATTCTTGTGGGGGCTGTCCGTGTGGCGGGTGTCGTCCAAGCGAGCATCACCGTACAGCATGATCAGCGTTTCCTCGATCTGCTCCGGACCCCATAACTCGCCAGCGGTCGCCAGCACATTCCGTGGTTCATCTCTACTGAAACAACAGCTTTTCGGCATCTTCTTCGCATGGGCCTTGTGCGACACCTCCTGGTCTGTCAGCTCGTACTCAAGCATGCACTTGAACAGCCCGGTGAGGAACTCCGCCATGCTCTGCCGCGGCAGTCGCCTGCAGCGATCGTACTGAGCCGACGCATAGTCGCATAGTCGGGGTTATCGTGCTGCTGCTTGTTGTAGCGACGGTCGAGTGCAGCGTGCAACTTCTGCAAGCCGCTGTCGTCCTCGTCGGACAGCTCTGCGCAAAGATATATGGCGAGCCAACCTTTTTGCCTCACCCTGCAGAGACATGAAGGCGATCACGGCCAGCTTCGCGCTGCCGAAGTCCGAGATGCAGCGCGCGCTGTCCGCCGACCGCTTCTGGTCCTGATAAATCGTCGGGTTACGGCTGCTGGCGAACGACTCGATCTTGAGGTCGGTGTTGCGGCCTCTTGAGGACCTCCGTGCGCGGCACAAATGTCTCCTCCTCGGGCGCTATCAGGAAGATCCGCGTCGAACCACTCGTCGCTGCCGAAACTCACTCACACTCGCGGCCGTGATGACTTCACGGCTCCGCTACCAATACGAAAGACGCACTAACAACGTCGAATTATCTAGGATATTCAAATTGATTTTGGGCTCCTGGGGGCCCTCCTGCTTGATGGTGTGAGCGTCCGGTAGACCGGGTCCCGCAGGGACCTATCTGTCTGGGGCCGGCGCGGCCGCCTGGGGGTCGCCCGCGCGGCGGCAGACCTTTCAAAGCCGATGCGACTCAATGCCTGCGTCGAAGCAGTGCAGCAGCGGTCGGCCATCGTGCGAGGAGGGAGAGGCGAGGACAAGAAAAAGGCTCGGCACAGGGCGATGGGGGCCCTCAAGATACCCGCATCCCGAGGGGGCACATCAGGGCCCAAAATCAGACCCCGGACCGACAGGAAGGCCCTGGACAAAAAGACGTGTATGCGCGCAGCGTGGCTGTATACCTGCTTCCCGCACCACTCGAATTGGAACGGCACGGTGTCGCTGGCGCGCGGCATAAAAATAGTTGTGCTGAGGCCTAAGATCCCTCTCGTGAGCAACGCTGAATCCCACCGACCACCTCCCAAGGCACAGAGGGAGTCAGACATCAAATGATGATGCATGGAATAGAGAGCAGACGCGACATCTTGCGCATTGACTATCAGCGGTACTTTCCACAGCCGTGCAATGTACAGGTTTCCATAGGCGGACTGCCATCAGACAGTCCTTCGGGGCCGAAGGATCTGTCGAAGACCCCCTGCTCCCTCCTCCCTTCCCCGCCTGGCGCTGCCGGGCAGGGTGGCACAACAATACCGCCCAAACTGTTCTTTGAGCACCTTGGCCATAGACGGCGCCGTGGTTCACGACCCTCCCTCCTGCCGAGCCGATCCGATTCAACCCAGGCGGCAGCGGCCAGCTGAGGAGGCGCCCGCCAGGCGCGGCCCGCCGAGGCAGGCGGAGAGGGGGTGGGGCGCCGGCGTCGGCGGGTCCCAGCGGCGCCGCGCGGTCGTACTCGGTGTTCACCAGCGCGTCGAGCGCCTGCGTCGTCGTCTCCACCGTCGTCCTGCTGCTGCGGCTCTTCCTCTTCCTCTCCTTCACCGCTTCTTCTTCTTCTTCCTCCTCCTCCTCCTCATCCTGTCCCTTTATCGTCTGCTTCCTGCCCCGTCTCCTGCCCCTCCTCCTCCTCCTGCTCGTCCTCCTCCTCCTCCTTCTCCTCCTCCTCCTCCTCATCCTCCTCCTCCTCCTCCTCCTTCTCCTCCTCCTCCTCTTCCTCTTCCCCATCCACCACCACCTGCTAGTCCTCGTCGCAGTCGTCGCCGCCCATGGTCGACCGAGGGTCGGTCGAGGGTCGGCGATGGACGTTTCTCTGGACGTGTCTGGACTCTTTGAGCTCCTGGAGACCTCCTGGAATCGTCGCCGTCGTCCTGCTGCTGCAGCTCCTCCTCCTCCGCCATTCTGCCTTCTCTCTCCGCTCAGTGCATCCTGCCAACCTGGCTGGTGAGGAGCCTCCAGCTGCCCCGTCTTGTAGTAGCTGCCCACCGGATTGACGAAGACCACGAAGGTGTACTCTGGGGAAGGGCCCAGACCCAGCCTGGCGAGAGGGTGTCAGAATCCAGCAACGTGGAGCGAACGGAGGTCGCCCGAACCAGAACGATCTCTTGTGAGGACAGAGGGGGGACCTGCGGGAGACCTCACGAGACCCCAAGATGGCTTCCGCGGCACAGTCATCCAGGATGGTAGTGGGTGGATGCACTGTTGAGAGAAAGGATGGGGGAAGGACAGGGATGCCTGGGCGCGCGTGGCACCTCGGGGCACGCCGAGCGAAGGATGACAGAAGACCAGGGCACGCACAGCCACGGGGACCACGCGGAGCACACCGAGCGCCAACGTCAGAACTCTGCTTCCGCCACGCGGAGACAAAAGCGGGTTGGGACGAACACTACCAGCTCTCTGGGTGCAGGTGGTTTAGAACGACCTCTCTTCCAACCCCCTCTTCACCTCTGGGGAGGAGTCTATCACTGCTCCTCATAAATAAACACCCCGTCTTCCACTCTACTGAGCGCGTGAGGGGCGTGCGGGATCGAGTGCGGTTACGTCATGCGGACCCTACCACTGGGCCTTCGGTGGGGCTCCCTCTGGGGCCACAAAAACATGGGAGGGGTATGCCAAATCGGGTGCCAATGCGCCATGCGGACCTTGCCGCTGGGGCATACTGGGCCACGAAACGTCAAAGGGGTGTGCCGAATCGGGAGCGGGTGCGCCATGCGGGCCGTGCCGCTGGGGCCTTCGGTGGAGCTCTCTACGGGGCCGCGAAGCGTGGGGGCGACGGAAGGAGACGCGGGTCGCTGCCTCTTCAAAGCCAAGACCCAACACCACAGGATGGTAGGGAACACTACATCATGCAATGTGCGGCAAACTCTGCATCGTGTTGCCATGATCGGGCACCCCGCGACCTTTTTACATTGCTTCTTGACAAGGACGACAAGGGTGCCAACAGATTGCCTGGCGTGTGAAAACCCACGATCCCTGTCAAAACAAATCGCCTGGCCAAAAACCTAACCATATGCAACCGTGAGTACCGCAAGGCAAGTGGGCACTAAGGGTGGGGGCTAGCAAAAGGACTAAGTCGTGCGTGAGAAAGACGGAGCGGCGTTGCTGATAAAAGCCGCAAGGATCAACCGTGACGGGTTACATCTGGATGTAAACCGCTACGGCTGATATGCGCGTCTGTCGGCGCGGCGCGAACCTGGGGAGCAGCAGGCGGCGGGGCCTTCGGTGGAGCTCCCTATGGGACCACGAAGCGAGTGAGGAGTGTACCGAAATGCGCGCAGTCACGCATGCGAGTCCTGCCGCTGGGGCCTTCGAAGGAGCTCCATATGGGATCACGAAGCGTGTGACGGGTGTGCCGAGATGGGTGCGGTCACGCATGCGAGTCCTGCCGCTGGGGCCTTCGGTAGAGGCCCCTGTGGGGCCAGGAAGCGTGTGAGGGGTGTGCCGAGATGGGTGCGGTCACGCATGCGAGCCTCGCCGCTGGGGCCTTCGGTGGAGGTCCCTGTGGGGACATGGAACGTGGGAAGGGTCTGCCGAAATGGTGTGTAGAAGGCATGCACGCCCTACCGCTGGGGCCTTCGGTGGAGCTCCCTATGGGGCCACGATTCATGGGTGTGGAGGGCCACGAATCAGGGCCACTACGTGGGAGGGATGCGCAGATATGGTGGAGAAGGCATGCGAACCTCCCCACTGGGGCACCAGGTGGAGCTGCCTATGGGGCCACGAAATATGTGAGGGGTGCGCAGGCATCGTGTGGAGAAGGTATGCAGCTCTCGCCACTGGGGCACCAGGTGGAGCTCCTGATGGGGCCACGAAACGTGTGAGGGACGCCGAGATGGGTACTGGGCCGGCATGCGAATCCTGCCATCGGATCGGGGCCTCACGTGGAGCCCCCAATGGGACCACGAAACGTGTGAAGGGTGCGCCGAAATTGGTATGGGGCCGGCATGCGAGTCCTACGATGATACGTGTAATGAGTGTACCGAATTAGACGTGGCAGCCGAGGGTCGATGATGATGACGATCGTGATGACGTTGATGATAACGATGGCGATGCTGGCGTTGATGAAGATGACGACGATGCCGATGACGATAACGAAGCTGATGCTGCCGATGCTGATGAGGATGCGGATGCTGCTGATGATGGTGATTGTCATGCTGATGGTGATGATGATGATGATGATGATGATGATGTTGTTTTTAATGATGAGGATGCTGCTGATTGTGATTATGCTACTGATGACGATGATGATGATGATGATGATGATGATGATGATGATGATGATGATGATGATGATAGTGATGATGACGGTGGTGATGATGGTGATGATGCTGGTCGTGATGATAACGATGAGCATAACGAAGATGATGATACTGATGATGTGGCTGATTATGCTGATGCTGCTGCTGATGATGATTATGACGCTGTCCATGACGATAGTGATGAGGACATGCGGATGGTAGAGGCAGGGAGGGGTGGAGAGGGGAGGGGGAGGGCAGCGGGAGGGACGGAGACGCGGGGCAATGCCTCTTTAAAACGAGGACCCAACATCACAGGATGGTTGGGAACAAATGCAAGGTGCACGTTGGCACAACATCTGTGACCATGCGCGGAGGCCCTGCGATCATTCTGCATGTTTTTTGGCACGGGTGGTGAGGGTAATTACACTGGCACGCGCGGCTCACCTCGCGGGCGTCGCGAACCTGGCTGACTTTTGAATTGGTTCCCGACAGTTGCCGATGGAGACCCCTGCCAAATTATGGTGAGACTCAGTTGCTATTTCTGTGGCGGTGGGGCTGGTTGGGAGTGAGGGAGACGGCCGTCCTCCTGGGTAGCTTGACCCGTCCCTCTCCCCCATCCCCTGGGTCTGGATGCCCGCCTCACCAAATAGTTAGAACGACAGAACGCCGGAACCTCCAGCATCACCCTTTAAAACAATCCTGGATAACGTTTGATGAATCATGGACATTTGGGAATCTCTGAGGCCCGGGGGGTCTAAAGATGCTGATCGGGCGCCGCGGCCGTTGCAGAGCGTTCCAATCCGTTTTGAGAGCGCTCTGGAACGCTCTGGAACAAATGCTCCAATACTGCCTGACTGCTCCCGCGCGCGCTTCCGCGGGCGCGGGAACAGGAGGAGGAGGAGGAGAAGGGATACGCAGCGATGGTGCGAATACCAAGGCTGATGCTGGAAATGATGATGGTGTTGATGGTGTTGATGCTGTTGATGTTAAGGCCAATGTTGCTGCTAATGGTGATGTTGATGATGCGGATGATGACGGTGACGATGATGATGGTAGTAATGCTGACGCTGATGCGGATTCTGATGTTGCTGATGAAGATGCGGATGCTGCTGTCTATGGTGATAAAAACGAAAAAGGAAGCAGAGCGACCGTACCAAGAAAGGGAGAGACGAGGGCAAGCGGGCAAGACGCGAGAAGACGGCAAATGTCCCCGCTCCAGTTCTTTTCAAGCTACGGTCTCATCGCGTGCAGCGCAGCGGCGCGGCACTCAGTGCCAGTAGTGTAAAGAAGCGCGGCGCGTGGCGCGCAGCTTGTTATAGAAATATGATGAAAGCGCTGTGGGACGGACAGCTTCAGGAATGACGTGCGCAGGGTTGGCGCGTTGCCCAGGCGTCCCTAAGCCGATGCGAACGAGGGGGTCCGAGGACAGGAAGGAACGAGGTAACGCGAGGAAGTGAAGGAGGCGGGGGCAGGTGAGGCAATGGCCGAGGCGATCTGGGCAAGCATCGCACCCGGGCAGGCAGGCGCGGCGCGGTGTGGAGGGGAAGCGGTGGCTGGTCCACCACGCTCCCGCCAGAGTCTTATCTACGGCCCAGCGAATGGCTGGAGCCTTCTTCGAGAGGTAGCTGGTTAGTTCCTGCCAGCGGTCGGGCGTAGTCAACGGCGCTGCGAGATCGGGCATCGCCGAGGAAAGACGCGTCATAGAGTCTCTGCGAACTTGCCGGGGAAAGGGAGGAGTGGAGGACTGAAGCGAGGGATCGCTGGGCCCTAGCACGCCTGGGTTCCTGAACAGCGGCAGTCCGTTCGTCTGCGGCCGCTCGCTGAGCTGCGCGCCAGACGAGCGGCGGGGCAGAGTGCGGTGGTTTGCCGTCAGCTAGCTCGCGCAAGTATTCGACGATGCCAGGGCTCTTCCAAAACGCGGGAGAAACGGCGGCCCGAACGCGGGTCTAGGCCAAATACGCCAGAGACAGTTCTGGATTGAGCTGGTCTTGAGCGAGCACTAAAGAGCGATGCGGTGGCCTCCAGTCGGGAAGCGCGGCAGAGGCCGCACGCCATGCTGAGGCCCGTGCGAGCGTGATCAGCGAATTGGGGGAGGGCGGTTGCGACCACGAGCGAGCACCGAGGAGGTCGACGAGGCACCAGGAGTTGGGGGCCCCGAGAATCTCATGCAGGGCGCCACGTTCGCGCCGCAGGATCGTGACTGGAAATGGAAAATACTGCGTGAGGTACGAGAGGACAGTGATAACACATGCGTTATACAGCTTGGGCGCCACTGCGGGGCCAGGAGCGCTCGCCGCTAATTGTACCACGCGCAACCAGCATTTACCAAATGCGGCTTTCCATCGGGTGCCTGTTACTGCTGGGCCTATGAGCGCGCTTAGATAGCGATCGTATGCCGTAACCGGAATGTGCTGCCACTCAGTCACCAGACATGCTAAGAGGCGTTGGGTGAGAGAGTGCGCGGCAGGTGAAAAGGAAGCCCATAAGGGCACAATCGCTGTCTTCTGGGTCTGTAATTCGAATCCTGTGAGGGTAGCAATGGCCCGGCGCGGGGGGCGGAGGAAGGGGGGGGGGGGGGGTCCCATGGCGAGCGAGGACGAGACCCAGCTCATCTGCGCAGGCGCCGAGCTTGTTGGATCCAGGGGGGTGCTCAAAATCTGGACGAGGTGTCTAATGGGCGCATCAAAAGCCAAGGCCCAAATCGACCCCAAGAGGGGTGGCAGCCCTGGAGAACACCAGGGCCGACTTCGAACATGCATTGGAGACGGCCGCCGACGCGGGCCCAGGCTCCTGGGGAGCGATAAAGCGCATAAATGCCACCGCGATGGCCTGGAGGAACCCCGCGAGCAACCAGCGATGCAAGCAAACACTCCCATCTCAAGGATGGGGGGGCGGCTTCGATATCAAAGCTGACAAGGATAGGAAGAGCATCTGGGGCATCTGGGGAGTGACCTGCTCTACTAGCCTCAGAGTCTAGGGTCAGTGCGCGTTGTCCGAAAGTCCGCCCCTTTTACAAACTCCTGTTGTGTCTCTATTGTCCGATCCCTGACCATGTCCACGACATGAGCGATCAGTTTGGCGTCGCAGTTCTTGAAGGATGGGGGGGGCGAGTGGCGCCTGGAGCTCGAAAGACGGCATGCTGGTCCTGGGGTTCGTCTCCTTTCGTGAGAAACGCGAAGACCGAGTCTTTGAACTGGTGCGGGGCCAGGCCCGCTTCGAACGCCTGCTTCATGGGGTCATGAAGTATCAGAGAAGATCCCGGGGCGGTGGCCCATGCGGTATGTCTGACCTTGCGGAGGGCCCTCTGAAAGTCCTGAAGAGCTGGAACCCGTCGGTCCGCGCAGTCGAACTTGGGGAGGTGCTGGGGCAGGCGTTGCTGGACCGCCGCGGGGCCCGCGATCCTGCTCGAGAAGATGGGCCGCCAAAACTTCGGGAGGCCTCCGAGAATGCCCTCTGGGGAACTGGCGGTGGTGGAGGATGCTGTTGGTGCCCCCTCTTTCGGCGCCCCAAGTCCTGAAAGCGCGTGTCGACGGCGAAGCGGATTCCAGGCCTGTGCCCGGCGTGTGAGCTGCATCGCTGCCTTCAGACTGTCGGCCTGGTCAAACTGCATCTCGGCGTTGGGCTGCAGCTGGCGCGTCGCGGCGAGGGCGGCGCGTCTGTCGTGGTCGGCGGCGGCCGCCGCGTCCATCAACTTGACGTACTCGCCCCTGTTCGTGAAGTCGGGGCCGTCGTCCGTGAGGCGCGGGCGCGCGCTGCCGATGTCGGTCGTGGCCATGAGGGGCGACGCTGTGTCTGAAGCATTTCGCCAGATCGCCCGGGAAATTGCGCGGAGAGCAGTGGGCTCGCCATGCTTTGCCCAGCGACTGCGGTCCTGAAGGGAGGCGCGCTGCGGAAGGTTGCGAATGAGTCTCGCCGCTTCTTTAATGATGAGCTCGCGCTGCTCCCAAGCCGCGCCGGGCGTGAGCGCAGCCTTGGCAAAATTGCCCTTCAGGAAAGTGGAGTGGCGCTGGTTGGTGGGGCCGTGGAAGATGATCGGGTCGATCGCATGCTCTTCTGGCCGTGAGGCTGAGGCGTTGGCCAGAAGCAAATGAAGAATGGCATGATCGCTGAGGCCTTTGTCGGATAGTGCTGCATCGTCTTTGTGAATCTTCAGGTGCGCATCCACGATCGTCGGGTCGATGCCCGAGAGGGAGATGAAGACGCGGTCGATTGCCGTGGCTGCTAGCGTGTTGGCCGAGAAGTGCGCGGGGAGGTCGTGCGCGATTTCTGCGAGCGAGGCAGGGGGTTGGCGCCGCCGCGCCTGCACTCGTTGATATTGTCCGTCGGGCGCCATAGGCCGCCAGCGTGCAGAGGAATCCATGGAGTTGAAAGAGGGGGCGGCACTGGTATGAAGTCGCCCATGGCGATGAAGAGTCTTTGCTGGGGCGCTGCTGCTGCCCGGCTCCGCGAGGCGCGCCGCGCCTCGACCGCCCTGTCCATGTTTGCTGCCACCAAGTCATGATCGTGTAATTTCATACTGAGCCTTTTTGAAGCCCGCGGTGTGATTGGCAACGTGCAGGTCGGCCACTCGTCCACGGATGTCTGGCCAGAGCGAGCGACGTCGATGTAGAGGTCGATGTAGGTGTCGAACCCAAAAAGGCCACTCCCCCTTTGCCACGGTAGAGAGGGGCAGCCGCTGAAATGCACTTGATGAGCATGCGGAAGATTGCCGATGTGCGATTGGAGAGATCCAATTGAGCCGTGTACTTCCTGCAGAGCTAGCAGGGCCTGCTTGCGCCGGCAAGGGGCATCTGCCTCGCCCTCCCCCATCTCCTGCAGTCGCCATGGCGCAGAAGGCCTCTGGCATTCCAACAGATGTAGCTGCCTGCGGCCTCTGAGGCAGTAGGTCTGGTAGTAGTCCGCGTCGGGTTGGCACGGCGAGTGCGCGGGCATGTGCTGGGCGAGTGAAAAGAAGACGAGCTGCTGGTACTGGAATAGGAAGCGTTACCTGATGGTGAGCTGAATCCCGGGACTGAGGCCGCCTGAAACTTGTCGGCATTGAGGCGACGATCTTGCTCTGGAAGAAGAAGGGCTTGAGCTGGGCGAAGTAGGTCATGCTGGGGAAGAAGCGCTGCTGCGGGCCCCCCCAGGCCCGTGACAGTCGAAATGCTATCTGAAGGGCTCCCCAGTCCCTCGGGAACAACAGGGGTTCCCCGATCCCCGTGCGCCTGTCGTCGCGACACGGCCTGTGCAGGATGAGACCCATGATGCTGTGGAGCTTGCTCGAGCTCACGCGGGGCGCGATCAGGCAGCCGCGGGGCGTCAGCAGCGGCAGGACAAGGCGGACCATGTCCAGGTGCTGGTCGAAGGTGCTGTAGAGGATGCGGTCGCTGCCTTGCAGGTGCGCCAGGCCCCGGGGGCGCGCGTGATCAGCAGTTGCAGTCGTCCGCCGTGGCGACCAGCGCTGTACTGTTTCCTCGGCTGTGTAGAGAGCGGCAACTTATGCAGCGGTAGTGGCCTTCTTGATGGGAACCTTGGCCAGCGAATCTTGACTCCAACGAATGATGGTTGCCGCGTACATGCTAGTGAGCTCCAGTTCGGCGGTGGGGATGGCGTTGCAGAGTGCGCGCCCTTGGTCACGACGCGCGCGCCAATTGTCCGTGGCGTGGTGAGTCTGACAGAGGGCGAGCAGCTTTTTAGTTGGACTTTCCATTCAGGCGCGCTTGATGTTCTTGCCTGGGTTGACGCAGAGCGGAACGCACTGGCCATTGTTGATGACGCTGTTGGTTGGCGTCTGGACTGTGAACTGTCTGTAGCCACCACGGCCTGGTAACTGAAGTGCCCGTGCAAGGGCCACTGATTAGGCGATGGCGACTGAGCGACCTCCAAGGAGTTGTAAGATGAAGCGCCGATCCGGTCCTTCTCCATGAATCTGAAACTGCCGCGGGGCCACTTCTGCTGCGCCGGGCCACTCGGTGCTGGAGGTGCGAGCGGCGGCAGTGGCGGCGGGCTGCGCGCTGGAGAGAACGAAGATGGTGGGATCTGGCTCGCGATCCCAGTCCGATAATTCGGCCATGTCCAGAATGGGTGCCTCTGCTTCACCGGGGCTGAGCTGCTGGTTGATACGCTGGATTGCACTCCAGATATCTTGGTGCTGGGCTTCTTGCTTTGCTTGTGCGGTCTTGATTCCCATGGGATCTTGCTCTTGGCCATCCAATCTGCGGGTAGTAGCTGCTTCGTGTCGATGTAGTACGGCAAGAGATTGAGTCTGCGAGGCTGAGGCGGCGTTGCTGGCGGCTGTATTGATGGCGGCGACCTGCGATGCCATGATATGATAGAGCTCGTGCTGAATATCTGGGGCGAGCTTTGACTGCGGCCAACGTGCTCTTGTAGGCGTGGCTGTGCCTTCTGCTGCTGTTGCTGGTGCTGGAGCTGATGCCATTCGTCCAGAGCTGGCTGCGGCGGCAGTTGGCGCTGGTGTAATAAGAGAGCGCTGCTGCGCTGCTTGAGCGGCTTGATGTGCCAACCGTTGCTGTTGAGCCGTATCGGTTTCTGCTGCAAGCCGGGGGGCATTATGAGCTCGGTGGGCTTCTTGAGTTTCGCAAACATATCGTTCTCGCTGTGTTTGACGGGCTTGCCACTGTGCTTGCTCTTGGCAGGGGAAGTAGGTGCTGCATCAAATTCTTCAAGAGCGGCTCGTTGCCATGCTTCTGGAGTAGCAGCTGAGTGAAATTCTTGAGGGGCTCCAGAAGCTTCGCGCCCGAGAGGTCCTTTAGATCGTCCACTATGTCCAGTGGGCGGCTGGCGTGATCCTTCGAAACAACAAAATGGTGGCGTCTATCCCTATCGCGTCGGCGGTGTCGATCACGGCCACGGTCTCTATCTCTCTCACTGCGCCTTTTTTTTCTCAGTGTCTGCGTCGATCGCGTCGGTGTCCACTGGCTTGGCTTCTGCTTCCAGAATCGTTTCGGGAGGATGCTGGGGCAGAGTCTGAAAGCATGCGGAAATATTGAACTGAGCTAGACCACGTACCGCCTGTCCGATGCCAAACGACAGAAAGGCCAATACAACGACCTGCAATTTCATTAATTGAAGTAGTAATTGTGCGAAGGTGAACTTCGTTCTGCAGTTATGGAGCGGCACCGCAGGCTGGGCAGCCGTGGCGGGCCTGTGAATGATGGAAAGGAACAGAACTGAACGGCCAGCTGCTTTGGGAAATGTTTTACTTGAGCCAAAAAGGCAACGGACGAGGAGGAAGAGGAGGAGGAGAGAGAGGAAGGAATTCCCCCTCTTCCTCCTTATCATCGCCTTCCTCCTCCTCCTCCTCATCAGCAGCAAAGCCATCATCGTGTTCACCATCACCATCACCATCACCATCACCATCACTATCAGAATCACCATCATCGCCATCATCACCATCAGCAGCAACAACCCCAATATCTCCATCACCTTCATCATCGCTATCACCATTACCAAGGCCATCACGGTCACCATCGTCATCATCATCAACATCACCATCGTTACCGCCATGGTCACCATCATCCTGCGCCTCCCCCCGGGGCGCTCGGAGCCTGGGGCCGCTGCCGAAAATGAACGGCCGCACGTACAGCGCGCCGCCCGATCCATACGGGGGTACCTCAGCCCGGGGGGCGGGGGCGTGCCCCCCTTGGCGCTCCCGCGGTCGTCGGCATCATCGAAATCATCGTCGCGGTGGTCGTCGTCGAGGTCGTCGTCGAGGTCGTCGTCGTCGTCATCGTCGTCGTCGTCGCCGTCGTCGTTGTCGTCGTCGTCGAGTTCGTCGTCGAACTCACCGTTTCCGTCATCGTCGTCCCACACTCCAAAGGAACTCGAAGAAACGCCCCCTGCCTCCCCCCCACTGTGGCGACTTGGAGCTCTTTCGCCATTTGCGGCATCTGGGGTCTGCTTCTACCAGGCGCTCGGACGGGGGGGGAGGTGGGGCCCAAAAGTGGGTTAGAAGAAAACCGTGACGGGCAAACCCTGAGCGAGAGAAATACCAACTTCCGAAGAATCCGCCCCCCTTAGACCCTACCTCCGGGTGCCCCATTGCGCCCTCTCTCTGCGACGCCCCTGACTCTGGGCCGCTGGGGCCCTCGGACGAAAGAGCGAGACGAACGAAATGGTCCAGGACGACAGAAACGCTGACGCGGGTTTGTGTGTCGAGATGTCCGGGCGCAAGCGGCTCGAAAACAGATTCGATATAGCTTCGTTATCCTCGTCCTCCTCGTCCTTTCTCTCCTGCTCCTCAGAACCAATAGAAGAAAAACAACTGGGCGGAGGAGGGAGGAGGGATGTTGGAAGAGGCGGAGGATGAGGATACCCTCTTGTCTTCCTCCTCCCACCATATTCAACCCTCCTCCCTAGATCCTCTCCAACTCTTCCCTGCTCCTCTCGTCCAATCTCCCCCATCATCCCTCCTTCCTCCCTGCATCCTCCTTCCACCATGCCCCATACTCGAGATGTCCCCCTCGCCTTTTACCTCCCAGCGATCTCCTCCTGTCAACGCTCGCTGCCTCTACCATCTGCTTCCGACCATCGCGGGGCGCCGCTGCGCGTCAGGATCGGCTTCTGACGAGATTGACAGCGCAGTTACAAACATGTAGTACTTCAGCACTCAATTCGAGCAACGGGGAATCAAGTTCGGAACTCCATCCTCAACCTTCGGACTTCGATATCCGATAGACAAGTAACACACGCGCGCCCTGGCTCTTGCACGAGGTAGCGGAGGGGCTTACTGGGCGACCATTCAAAACAACGGAGGGGGCGACGACCAAGGGGAAAGTGCCCGCCAGGACGGCCTGGGGAGGCGGTAAAAGGGGGAAACTGGTGGCTAAGTAGGCCCGGGGGGGACAACGAAACATGACCCACGACGAACCACGAGCTACGAAAATGAATTATCCTGGCGGAGGGCCCGAGCAAGCAAGCAATACATCATGCAGTCGCAGGTGCGTAAGACAATGGATGGGGACAATCGGCCAATACATACAATACAATCGGGCGGCGCTGCGCTATGATGTCAGCTTCGCTGTGCGGACAAAGTGCCGCCAGGAAGCTTCGCTGGTCATGAAAGGGGTCAAACTGACTAACTATGCCGCCTGCCGCTTTGCAAGCGGCGCATAACACTGGCCTGCCAACTTTGTTCACCTACCTGCCTGAAGCTGGCCGGAAAAATCCAGGGCAAATGGTGGCCTCTCTCAGGGGGCCCCTTTCCGGTGAGTTGGCGGCTTTCCCTGGCATTTCCCTGGCAGGAGGATCTCTTGTCGAGCTACTGCTTCTGAAAAAAAATGCCCGGCCGCGTCTAAGACAATTGCGTTGTCCACTCTTGACATACATGCTGGCGCGAGCCCGCATACCGCGCGGAATTGCCGACAATGGGAACCATCCAAACGCCCCAGCAACATCCGACCACAAAATCGATGATGGAACCACCACTTTGTGCAACTCAATTGTTCGACGCCGGCTTACACTTGAATGTCGCAACTGATTTGGGAACTTCTCGGAATCAGCCAGAGCTGAACCAAGACGGCGATAAAGCTCTTTGCTCGCGACCCCTGCTCCAGAAATCAAGGATCCCAAATCAATTACTCTGCGAGTCTTGAATATTGCGTTCGCATCGGGCTTGGAGTAGTTGGAACTTGTCTGGGTGCAGCACCAGGCCATAACGTCTGATACAAACTTATAGCTGCAACCAATTGCTCCACGTCCTCCTTGGTCCTTCCTAGTGTCAATGTGTCGCCTACGCACAACAATGCTGACGATGATCCACGCTCCCGTACTTGGCAGTGCTCTTCGGAAAGTTGCGCGGCAGCGTCTTCGATGATGACTGCCACCGTCATGATGAACAGGGACGGTGACACAAAACATCACTACGATCTTTCAGACAAACGCGGCCTCAAAAACGAAGCCACCCCACAATCGCGCACCTCGAAAAGCCTGCCTGTGTACATTGCGCTTATGGTTTCCACCACGTGCTGTGGCAAGGCGAAGCGCCGCAACCCCCGCAACATAAGGGAAGGGTTGATAGAGTCAAACGCGTTTTTCCCCAACCATCATGTGGTGTTGGGTCCTCGTTTTGAAGAGACGGTCGCCGCGTTCCTCCTCCTCTCCTCCTCCCCCTCCTCCCCCTTCTTCTCTCCTCCCGTCCTCATCATCAGCATCGTCATCAACATCACAATCATCATCGCCATCAGCGTCCTTATCATCAGCATCGTCATCGTCATCGTCATCATCATCATCATCATCATCATCATCATCATCATCATCATCATCATCATCAACATCATCATCATCATCATTGTCATCAACACCATCACCAACATCATCACCGATGTCGGCACACCACTCACACGCTTCGTGGCCTCATAGGGGGTCTCACGGGGGGGCCCAGTGCCACCGCCTGCATGCGCCCCGCACCCCCATTTCGGCACAACCCTCAACCGTTTCGTGGCCCCACAGGGAGCTCCACCGAAGGCCCCACTGCCACCGCCCGCATGCGCCCCCCCACACACACACACACACACACACAATTCGGCACACCGCTCACACGTTTCGTGGCGCCATATGGAGTTCCACCGGAGGCTCCAGTGCCACCGCCCGCATGCGCCCGGCCCCCCCCCCCCCCACACACAATTCGGTACACCCCTCACACGCTTCTTCGTGGCCCCATGGGGAGCTCCACCGGAGGCCCCAATGCCAGCGCCCGCATGCGTCCCGCACACCCAGTTCGGCACACCCCTCACACGTTTCGTGGCCTCATACGGCGTCTCACCGGGGGCCCCAGTGTCACCGCCCGCATGCGTCCCCCACACCCATGTCGGCACAACCCTCACACGTTTCGTGGCCCCACAGGGGGCTCCACCGAAGGCCCCAGTGCCACCGCCCGCATGCGCCCCCCCCCCCCCCCCCCACACACACAATTCGGCACACCGCTCACACGTTTCGTGGCGCCATATGGAGTTCCACCGGAGGCCCCAGTGCCAGCGCCCGCATGCGTCCCCCACACCCATTTCGGCACACTCATAACACGTTTCGTGGCCTCACAGGGAAATCCACCGAAGGCCCCAATGCCACCGCCCGCATGCGTCCCCCACACCCATGTCGGCACACCGCTCACACGTCTCGTGGCCCCATGGGGAGCTCCACCGAAGGCCCCAATGCCACCGCCCGCATGCGTCCCCCACACACATTCCGGCAAACCCCTCACACGCTTCGTGGCCCCATGGGGAGCTCCACCGAAGGCCCCAGTGCCAGCTCCCGCATGCGTCCCCCGCACACACATGTCGGCACACCCCTCACATGTTTCGTGGCCCCATAAGGAGCTCCACCGAACGCCCCAATGCAACCGCCCGCATGCGTCCCCCACACGAATTTCGGCACACCCCTCACACGTTTCCTAGCCCCATATTGGGTTTCCACCGAAGGCGCCCATGCCACCGCCACCACGCGTCCGCCACACTCAAGGCTTCAGGGAACAGCTCCAGACCTCTGGGGAAAAGGAAGAGGCGGAGGAGGAGGAGGAGGCCCGCTCCCCCCCGTATGTATGTTGCTTTGCACTCGCTCTGCCCGCCGGTCAGAGCCTTGCCCGCTACCAGCCAGCCAGCTAGCTAGCTTTCTTTGCTCCGCGCAGCAGACGACCCGCGCGCGTCGCTGGGACCCTTCCCGGGCGACTGGCGCGCGTCGCGGGGACTCCGCGCCGCGCTGCGCCCGCAGTTTTGGACTTTGGAGTGCGCGGGCAAAGAGGGAGGAAAAGAAAGGAAGGAAGCGGGCGCGATCCTCGTGAGGGGCGTGCCGACATGGGCGTCGCGGCGTGCGCGCGCTGCCGCCGGTGTTCCCGCGGAAGCTTTCTGCTGCGGCCACTCTCATTGTCACGAGTGCACAGACAGGCATACCCGAACCATTCACATTCATATGATTTTACACGAACGATGCGTCGCCATGGTCGCACTCGTGCAAATATATTCGCTCGCGCGCAGATTCCTTCACACTTAGACTCACTCGCGCTCATATTCACCCGCGCTCAGTCTCTCGTAGTTCGACCAATCGTTTTCCTTCGTGCTGTGTGCCCCGCCACATTTCGGCACGGCCCTCATACGGTTCGTGGGCGCCACCGAAGAAGATACTCACAAACGCGGTACTCACAACTGCATATGGTTGGGTCCTTCGCCAGGATAACTTCTCCAATCCAGGGCCAATGCTAAAACATAACCTGTCGATGTTCCAAGCTCCAGAATCGATTCGTCTACGGAGTGCACAGATAGTTTCTTGTGCCCCATACTTTGCTCTGAAGCCAATTTGAAATCCTGCAACTTGGGTTTCGCCCTTGCCTCCACCAGGCGCCGATGCAGTAATAATGCACAGGCTTTGTACCCAATACATTTAGCTACGACGCAATTGTTGCCATCGTCTTCGGTGGAGCTCCCTATGGGGTCACGAAACGTGTGAGAAGGGTGCGCCAACATGGGTGCGGGGCCGCATGCGAACGTCGCCACCAGGGCCTTCGGTGAAGCTATGTATGGAGCCTCAAAGCGTGTGCGGGGTGCGCCCGAACGGGGGGGGGCGGGCACGCCGCGCGAGCGCTCCAAGTGGGACCTTCGGTGGAGCTCCCTATGCGGCCACGAA